TCCCAAAGCCAAATAAACACGCCTAGGTTGGTGCCTCCTGTTTACCTTTGCAAAATGTAAACTTAAAATACCAGGTAAACCTTGGAAAGTCTGCACTTCTGGCTGCTTTGGGCCACAGCTGTGTGGGGGACAGATGTTGCATTTCTGGAAGGATTCTGACATTTGATTTAGCTCCAAATCAAATAAGCTCCCCACATCTAACCAGACTGCAATGAATTCAGGCCCTTGTTTTTAGGAAGATCTGAGACATCGCTGGGTCGGCTGCACATCATAACACAGAAGAAAAATGGTTCAAATGGAAGAATCATTTTGGGAGAAGAACAGCAGGCATTACTGAAAAAAAAATAACAGAATTGTGCTTTAACACAGCTGAAACTGCCATTCCTCTCTTTCCACCCCCCCAAAAAAGGAAGAAATGCCAAGAAAAGGTGAGTTCTCCTGGACCATCACACCACAGCCGAGCAGCTCCTGGGTAGGCAGCTGCCACCACCAGGTAACTCCACTCTCATTATTTTTAATTAGCTCGAGTTTCAGCTCTGACTGTGAAATTGTAACCTTACATTGTCACATGATAACAAGACCTCTGGTTCTCTGCACCGCTTCAGCCTACATTAAAGCCAGGGCAGGTTAACGAGATGTGACTCAGGGAGCATGGGACTCCTCCCTGAGCACTGGAGGTGAGAGCAGGACACAGGTGAGACTGGGAGGAGAATGAGAGGCGGTTGTCATTGGTGGGGCTATACATAGAATCACAGCATCATTAAGGTTGAAAAAGACCTCTAAGATCATCCGGTCCAACCGTCCACCGGCCTCCAGAATTGCTCACAAAACCACATCCCTAAGTACTACACCAACCTTCTCCTTAAACACCTCCAGGGATGGTGACTCCACCACTTCCTTGGGCAACCCGTTCCAATGCCTGACACCATTTTTGAGAAGAAATTCTTCCTAATATCCAGTCTGAACCTCCCAAGAGGTTATTCCTAGAGCTTACTTTTGCTGGCTCATTAAACCAGGAGTGACAACAGAAGGGCTGGTTCTGTAGTGAGCTGCCTGCCCCTGTCACACAGCACCTGCATTCTAAGTTCTCTGGGAAGCGATGGGTCCTAAGGGTGCCTTTGGTCGGTGGTTGGCACAGAAGGTCCTCAGTTCCACAACATAAGTAACATATTTTATCAGCATCTGCCATGAGATTACTATGTACAATGTGGTTGTTTTTTTCTTAATATTGGGATACAGGCAATAAATACATACATATTGTTAAATATATCCCAGATAATTACTCTTTTACAATTACTGAAGTGAGTACATTAGACATACAACATTCCATACTCCAACACCAAAGCGGATACCGAGCATAAACACTCACACAGACTCTGCTGGTACTGTTCCCAATTTAAGCAGCAAAAACGAAAGAGCCCAGAAAGTAGAAGACAACTGATCAGCTATCAGCCCTGCAGAACACCGACTGTTCTGGCAGACCATCTCACAGCTTGGAAAAAAGCCTTGGTAACAAAATGAATTTCCTTCTTCTACTGGCAGCTACTTGTAAAGACTTGAAGCACCGGACAGGACAGCAGTGAATGTAAATGTTTTAAACTCTGGGTCATGACCACCGTGTGATAATGCCAACTTGGGAACGTTTATGTTATTTTTGTGCTATTTACATTATACTTAGTAACTTTGTTATTTATTATGATACAGACTTTAGTTAATCATCTGTTAATGGCACGATTATTTTATCAGGAATATTGTCTAATTAAGAACTGGTGAGTGATTGGAATTTCAATACGATAATACTGGCATAGGCTGCAAGCCAAATCAACTACAAGTATGAAGGTACTGAACACAGGATTATCTAAGCTTAAGCATCTACTGGCACAACTCTTCCAGCCCGGATCATTAGCTCCCATTCCTATTATTACATACAAATGACCAATTTCTGCTAATTCCCAAAGTTAATTCCTTTAAACCACTATTTTGTATACATTGTGTTAAGGCTTTTCACTTGTTTAAATTTGCATAATTATAGCAATTGTCTTCTGAGCTTACTCCACTGAAATTGTTCTAAATTGGGATTTTGCCTATGCTTAAGATTTGTCAGCTTTACAGAGCAGCGTATCTGGAATCAGTACAGCCTTCATCTGTGCGTTTGGCCCCGGCACTTTCTCACTGTTCATTAATTTATTCTCAAAGCTCTCCAAGTGAACACTTTAATGTGAGCTGGCTCCTTAAGCTTGTCCCTACCAAAGCAGCCCTTGCACAGAGCCATCCTTAACCTCTGCTGCAGCGCACAGCGGTGCAAATCCATCTCACTCCCCGCCACGGTCTTATCTTCCTTTAATGCTCCTGTTATGCCTTGATCATCTATCAGTCTGACTGCTTCCCTGGCAAGCTTCCTGCCTCTGGTGTGTTTGAATAAGTTTTTATTATTAGCTTTTCCACATTCGCTAAGTGCTCAAAATCTGTTTGGCTTGTCTTTTACATTTAAATTGAGAGTTGACTCTTTTTCCTTTTTTTTTATATATTAAAAAAAAAAGCTAATAGCTCTTTTGTATGTTGGTTTGTATCTTATTTTTGGCAGATAGTCTTTAAAATTATTATGTTGTGCATATTTGTGTCTAGAAACAAAATTAGTGGTTGTTTTTAAAGCATCTGAGCTGCCGACAGACGCACTGCTCTTTCAGCCACTCCTTTTAACAATTTCCTTTTAACTATCTCCCTCATTATGAGGCACTCCACAGGTGCATTGATTTTTCTCCTTTTCAGTTTTGTTACAGCTATTTTGGACTGGCTTTGTAACACACCTCACAACTCAGATGTAGTTGTGCCAACCCACGCCATGACCTTACCGTGGCATTTTAACATGCATCTCTGGGAGCTGGGATCTGGCTGCAGCCGGGCCAGGCAGCATGGGGACAAAGCGCCTTGCTGTGAGCAGGGCTTTCAGTGCCTCCTGCAGATGTTGGGTCACTGGTGCCATGTGTTCTCCTGTTCCCAGGATCCTCTTTCTGGTGTTAGAGCCGTTACTTTCGTTCTGCAGGGTTTCTGGGAATCTTGATACGACATCCTCCGAGTGTTTAAACATAACTGGGTTTGATCTAAGTATCTGCATCTCCAAGTTCACTACAAACATTTCAAAAGGTATAGCATCCTTTGTTTTTCACTTTTCCCACCTGAGCTTCATTTTACTCTCTTTCCAGAACAAAATTTCCATAGCTTCATCTTTCCAAGGATGGGTTATCCTCAATTTGTCCACATCTCCTGGCTGCCTTTCACTTTTACCCTCTTATCTTTCTAATTATTAGTGCCAGAAGAACAGAGCTCATCTCTGCTGTAGGTTATCTATATTTCAAAAGCTTCCCATCCCTATGCCTACCAGACCCTTTTCTCGCACGCGCTGTCAGCCCCTGCACTTTGAAGCATTGCAGCCTGCTTTCATCTGCTGCCAGCTCCGCTCACTCCTCCCATACCTATGTTCTGAAATATGCTGCTGTACACACACAGATGAGATAATATGCTGCTTATTAAAACCAAAGGTATCAAAAGACAGCCCTCAACAAAACAAGGCAGAGCCCCCGAAATCTTCTACAAGGGAGATATCAGGAGGTTGTTCCTATGAGGAAAAGGATAAAGCACTGTTTGGATTATGATCTGTCCTGTGTAGGATGCATGTGTTGTTGTTTTTTAAGTCACACAGTTCAGTAGGAAAACTCATCTCGTGCAAGAGCTACTAACTGTGTCAATAGTCACAAAAAGAAGCAGTGTCAGTGCCCCACCACACCTGTGTCTAACTGGAGAGTTAGATCACGTTACATTAGCATCCTAAGCTTTCTTCCTCCACAGAAATAAAAGAAGATTACTGCCAGTTTCAGGTACCTGCCCCTCTGCGACACATCTGCACATCCCAGAGGTAGGCCCAAACAACACTGCTGTGCCAACACACTGATGGTTTTATCGCATCGGGAGGAGAAGGAAGAAGGAGATGGAACTTCGTGCCAGCTGCACATCTCTGTGGTCAGAAAGTGGACAGAATGACTTGTTAGGGTCCAGACCACTCCTTGTGCATTGCTGTGTGCCTTTTTCACGTACCGTGCTATCTTTCCAGAGAACTTTTCAAGATTTAAATGTAGCACCTCCAGCCACCGTAATTTCAGTTATCTAGGACTTGGAGGCATTGCATGCCTTTTGCATACAAAGTAGTTCTCAATACCTTTCTCAAAACAAAACATCAAATAGCTTGATTCCCTCAGATGTTGCAGATGAATGCAACTTGTCACCCTGCCAGTGTGGGAGTCAGGCCTCCCAGCTCTCTGCACACACAGCACGAGGGAACTGGCCCTCTTCAGCCACGTTAGAACAACTTTGCTCTGTTTATGTTGTACTGAGCTAACTGATCAGAGGATCTGTCCCCTTTCTTCCAGCCCTGCAGGGCTAGAGGATATCAGACTTTAAAAGCCACGGTACTTGTCATTTATCCAGGATTTTTACTTCTCTTCAGCTTCAGGCAGTGCCAGTTTGTATAGGTGAGGGAGGAAAAAAGAAAAAAAGACTCTAATGGATTTCTGCAGTGGGTTAATTTTTTTTACATTAGTATCTTTGGAAAGTAAATGGCTGCGAGAGAGAGATAATGGGCAGAAGAGGACAGGGAAGTGCTCCAAGGTTTGAGACAGACACATGTCCCACACAGCCCTCAGCTCTGTCACACACCCCGCCATGTGAAAAAGTGACCCAAATAACTTGCTCTTCTGCAGCCATTAGCTCTCTGATTCCACTAGGAGTCCATTCCTCACATGCAGAAAATGACTTCTGAAAGAGTATATACAACGATGCAAATGAATCAATTTGCAAAAGGTCTGCAGTGATAAAGACCATATGTGGCAGTAAAATATACATGAGGTACTCCAAATAGTAACTATGCAGTTAGCGGAGCCACAAGTATGATTATCGTCCTGAATTACTTTAAATACAAATTGCCACAGAAGTCCAGAAGTCAGTACAAGCATAATGATCATTTTGTTTAGACACAATGCTTTCTCTCAATGGAAGGTAACAAATAAATGCAAACTGTCCTGGTATAAAGTGGCATCTAACTTAAACATCATATGTCGGAGTCCAGCTCACACATCCTTTAGACTGAAGAGTTCCACTCACTTTCCTGTTGTGTTTGTGGAAGAAGAGGAAGTCAAACAAATTCAAAATTATATCAGTATTGATTTTGTTAAGATATCTGCTTTGACATTCATCTGTGTAGAATGGCAAAAGTCATTTCCAGGACAAATTAAATAGAAAACCTGAAAGTATAATGCTCTCCTATCCTTGCATTTGCTTCATACACACCTCTGTCAGATTTTGAACATAGAAAATAAGTACAGCTGAGTGATACTACTTTTATATTTTATCCTATTATTTTAGAGGAGTATTTACAGCACAAATGATGCCTTTAATTATTTTTTTTTTTTTAAGTAAGCAGTATCTTGTTACTTTAAGAAGTGTTAGCAAAGGCAAGAGCTGCAAGGAATATCCAGTGCCACCATCATCTTGTGACTTCAGCTTTGTCAGAAGGAGCTTCAGGTCACCATGGAACGGCTGCTGAGCCCTAAGCACTCGGTGCTTCACTGGATGGGCACTGCAAGGGAAATGCTTGGTGAGAATCCTTCACGAAACATCCTCAGCCACATTTACAGGCATGTGTTTCTCTGTTGGGAAGTTTGCTGTGCAGTTCTTGGGCTCGATGGTCTCAAAAAGTCCTGGGAAAAAGGCCTTTTTGTTTGTTTTTTTTTTTTCCCTGACAGAAAAACACAGTTCTACCATTTCCAGTTAGATATCAGATATTAGATATCAGATACAAAAATGATGCAAAAGATCAGAGATCTTTGAAAAAACTGATCCAACGCTACTGTTAAGTCAAACCAGAACCGCTCTGAGAAGTAAAACTCAGTGCTGATTCCAGATGCATGCTGGACACAGGCCTTCATGTTTTGAATAGAAAACTCAACAGCTTACTTTAAAGCCTTGTTATTTTCCTGTTCCAGACCCAGTATGTTCAATATGAAATGGCAGGCTGCTCACAGCTAACCAAGCCACTTGAAACAAGCCAGAACTGCTGAGACTACAAGTGCTTGTTGGTAACGACTCTTTCATTCTAGGGACACAGTCCAAAACATTTCTCTTTTTCCATGCATTGGGCTGGTTTGGTATGAAAAGCTCTTAGATGGTTCATAACAAAATCTGTGACACTTCTAAACAAGTCCTTTTCTACTGATTTTTGCTTTGCTTGGTGTCATTTAATGGCATATACCCCTATGTTGTCTCTTTTATTTGGGAAAGCAGAACTATTGTTAATACAAAAACTCAACACGCTTCTTTCCTCTGTATAAAAATAGTAAAATTGTTAAAGTGTTTTTGTTTCTTTATTTTCTTGGTCGAAGTTAGTATTTTTCAACTGAAATTCATGTTCAGCATTAAGATATTACATTAGCAGCCGCCATACAACATGCATCTGCAAGCTGTACACCTCCACAAAGTTGGATCATTAAAGGAGGAATCAGAACAAGTGGAGTAATTCAGGGACATGGGGATCTGTGGGCAGAGCTCCTATCCCAGCAAGGTCCACACTGGGGTCTGCCCTAGGAGCTCAGGGCTGAATCCACTCTGCTCTTGCAAAACTGCAAGGAAGGTGATGGCACGTTAAGGGGAAGCTGCTTCCCAGCCCATGTGGGGAAAAAGCTGCAGTTCTGTACAGCCTGGGCTTCTCCACATCTACCCCAGCTCTCTTGTCCCTTTTCCTTCCACCCCACCCCAACCTGCATCCCTCAACCTGCCACTGACATCCCTGCCCCACAGTCCTACATAGTGATACAAGAAAGAGGAGCAAAGCTGTGACTGTGTGATTAAGAACAATGCTGACAAGAGAAATTGCTGACTTGTAGCTGACGTCTCCAAAACAGCCATCCACAGAAAGTAATGGTCTGGCTAACATCAATAATTAACAGATAATAGGAAAATGTTAAAAAGGCATGATAAAGCAGGATTCGATCTGAAACATCCGTGCCTCAGATCCCCAGTGCAAGAAAGAAGACACTGCAGCAGGCTGTTCCTGTGGAAGGTTATTACTGCAAATAAGTACTATGATCCGTAATTATTATTTGTTGTACACCTCTACAGTTACAAAATCTATACAGGTTGCACTGACACGTGATTTCTCCAAGTTGAGGAGCAAATACTACTGCAACATTAATTACTTGCAAATTGTACAAAGATTGTACCAAGATAACACTTTACCTTTTAAGCTGAAATCATCCATAATGCCACTGCTGGCTGCCCCGGAGACAAGGGGCTATTTGTAATGAGAACCATGCACAGGTTGTATAAAACAACTTCAGAGCTGCAGAGTGCAACTCATTGCCAATTCTTCTGCCAACTGCAGAACGCAGGAAGTACATCTGACACAGGAGGACCTCACACTAAGTCATAACTTAAATTATAACCTTGCAAAAATCCCTCAAAAACGACTCAGTGACACAGCTATGCTTCAGATACTGCTGCACAACCATTACATTCCAGGGCCACAGCAACTCAAAGCAAACCCCCAGTTCTGAGAGGCAGCTCAGTAGGATTCTGAACGACACAAAGTGACACTGTAGTATCCAGCTGGAAGGTGATGATCAGCCCAGAAGCTGAGTGTTCCCAAAGGCACAGTTTTGTTCTGAGAAGCAAAACCCTTCCTCACACCACAGACCACAGGCCCAGTTTGGGCTTGGATTGTGAGTTAGCCCATGCATGTAGCACCAGAACCAGCCCAGACTGCAAGACGGTCTAACTGTGCCCATGTCTCAGCAGCATTTAAATTCCAGTGGGAAATGGAAGAAATTCATTAAAGGCCTTTTATAAATCATGTATTGTTTTGCTCTTTGGATGACTGAGCATGCTAAAGAAGTTAAAAAATAAATGAGTGTTCTTTGGCAAGACTGCGTATGAGTATCACCTTCTTCTGAATAATATTTACATGATTTAAGAATAGGCTGTTCCGCTGAACTGAAAATGTGAGTTTATTGCTGAATTAAATAGGACTGAAAATAATTAATGTAGACATACTGAAGCAACAGGATGAAGGGCTAATCCTATCATATTTGAAACTATAAAAACCTAAAAAAACAATCACGGAGCTGCTAAGCTAGCTGATTCAAGAGACTGCAAAAAAAAAAGAAAAAAAGTTTACTTTTTTCACTTCTATGGTTATAATTTGTATATAGATCAGAGGTTTGAGGGCAAAATGCCAAATGTTTAGAAAACTGATTGTTTTCTAAGTCCAAAGCCAGGCAACAAGAAAGCTTATGAAGCCTTTTCACTGCTTACCCTGCGCATTAACATCTGGGACACCACAGCAGAGAATAGCACAACATTTGGATAAATCTTGTAAAAGAGTACATGGAGCCCTACTTCTCAATATGAGATTAAAATTATTCAGGTTCCTACCCCTTAGCAAGACTTGAAAGCTGACTATGGGAATGCACGGAGCGTTGTTTCCTGCTCCTCCACCAGCAGCTCCCAGGCTTCCAGCTCAGCACAGCTCCTGTTGATTCCAGCTCAGCAAGTTCAGGCCTGCAGGTGATTATTGCCATGACAAGAAATATTTATTATCAGCTACACCAAGACTTGAGTGGAGATGCTAACACAGTTGATCAGAATGAAAACAACCCATCGAAAATATTTTTAGCAGAAGAAAAAAACGCGTAACTTGGGAAAAGAAAATATCTCATGTGCATGAAATCAGAATTGTTCTCATTGGGCAGCTAACTCCAATTGCCAACTAGTTTTGAAAACTATCTGAAAAAACAGTTTTGGCAACCACCAAGAAACATTGTTTTGTTCTCAGGCAAGCAAGTGCTCTGCAAACTTGCTCTTCTCCCCATTCGCCTCTCAAACTCACCCTCCACAACCTGCTTTAATTTAAAAGAGGGAAGATTTAGCTCAAACGCCAGGAGGATGTTTTTACTCAGAGTGAAGCAAAGCCTTGGCACAAAGCTGCGGTGCCCCAATCCTGCAGCTGCCTGAGGCCATGGACGGACCCTGGGCATCCTGAGCTGGGGGGCAGCCAGCCCGTGGCAGGGGTGCAACTGGATGATCTTTAAGGTCCCTCCCAACCATTCTGTGATTCTATGAAATGTTTTGACAATCTGATAAAACTGCACATAGCTGTGCTAGGTACAGAGCCAAACTCAGGTCCTGCTTTGCAAAGGACAACGGATCATTCTGGACGAAGTATCAACGACTACAATCAAGTGGGGTGTTACTCATCCAGAAACATAAAATGCAATCTTACTCTACGTGTTCGGCGTGCCATTTGGCACCAACACCAATGCATGCTACAGCTGGGTAGCACGGCGAGAGAGCCAATAGTCAGCACCTGTGTTGCCAACTTTCAGTGAAAACTAGTCTTAGGATCTCCAGCCAGCAGACATATTTGTATACTGCAAGGCAGGGAAAACATAACAAGCAATCTCAGAGGGAAGTCTAAAACGGGAAATTAAGAAAAACCCTTTAACTATGCACATGTATTGAAAAGGAGAGAATGTGAGGCTCGGCACGTTAAAGTCTTTCAAAAAAAAAAAATAGTGTGTAAAGAATAAATACACCTCTTGTGTTGGTAATAAGAAAATGTAATAGGGAACTATACCCCACAGAAAACGTCGCCATGCCGTAATTCAGGTGTTACAGCTGCAGCTGGCCTTAAAAAATAAAGTATTCACTAAAGGAGGAAAGGTTTCAGATTCTCATACGATAGCTGGTCGATACGTGAGCTGCTTTGTCAGTTTTATGTTGTAACTGAAAAGATAAGCACCTGTTGCCCGAGGAAACACAACCCGTTTCTTAATGCAAGGACATTCCACACTTAGTGAAATGAGCAGCACGGAAGAAAGAAGCAGATGAACGTGCTAGCTGGGGGCTTGTTGGCTGGCTGGCCAAAGAATTGGAAAATACCAGATTGTCTTTTGTGTAAATGAGGAAACTAAGACAAACACTCTAATTTATATCATAAAAATAACTGACACAAAGATGAAGGGAGATTACTAAAAGACATATTTTTTAAAATGCTGTTTATGTTTCTGCCCATCTAAAATGATCGCTCTTGATTTATTAGTGCAGAATTTATTGCTGCAGCAATTGAAGTGATGATAATAGCCCAGGAAAAAATGTTGATGCTGTTAGTTTGATGATTGATTGCAGCACTACTGAAGCAGTAGGGGGATTTATCAGCGTGGCTCTGAACTTTGTAAATGATGCCTCTGGAACTCCGTAAACAAACCAAAGGAACAGAACCGCCAGCGGCTCCTGCTGCTGCGCCTCGCAGGGACACAGTTAGTGTGTAGCTGCAATTAGGGGTGATCAGCTGCAATAAAGATCCGTGCACTGCTACACGGAGGCAGATGGGGCTGGTCAAACGTGAGAGAGCTAAATCAAAAGCATCCAAATGGGTTTCGTGTGGCCAGCCCGTCTGCTGCAGCTAGCCAGGCTGTACGGATGCAAGGCAGCACCCGAGGTGTCTTGGAAAAGTCCTCCAGTCACCCATCAGAATCAGCCCAGCCAGAAGTGCTGTGCCACTGGCGCCCCACAGATCATGCTGCT